AATAATCAAGAATTCAAAATGAATGTAAAAAAGTATGAATAATTGAAAGCGATTTAATACGAGTCTAATGAGAGCACTGGTATCTATGAAAGACATCCCAAACCACAAACCAATTACTCCTCCGATGTTTGACAGGAAGTCAACGAATGAATACTTTTTGTCGGATTTGTAGTGAAATTCTTGACTTATTTTGTATTCAATTCTAATTTTGCTGTCATTTTGTGCCGAATATTCATTGTCTTCCAATTCTAATGAATAGTATTTTTGGTGACAATTCTTAACGCATTTCTCTTTACAATAGTTTTTATTAACAGAATATTCTGTATTTGTATTATTATTACCACATATTCTATACTGTGTTTGACTCGCATTCATGAGAATAAACTCCTCATTGATGTAAGGATTGGGTAAACATTCAAAGGATTTGTTGTATAGTTTATCAATGCATTTAATGAAGCAAGCAATTGAACTTTCACCTTGTTCTTTAAAAATAAAAATAAAAGTTATATTATTATACTGTTATACAGTGTAACATAAAAAACAATACCGTATTCACGACACGACTTCATATAAGGTTTGGAAAGTAATTGCAAATGAGTTGACGTTATCTTCAATCTTCCGTTTAATCCAATTTTAGTCGTTTTAATTGATGTCTCTTTTGATGGCATCAATGGTTCAGTCATTGGATTCACAAATATATGTAAACCAAAATTGTCTTTTAAATATAAATCTTTTACTCTAAATAAAAAATACGGATCTTGAATAAAAGAATCGTATATTTTGTTATAATATTCATCATAATATCCACTGCTTATAAATTTTTGTTGGGTTTCAAAAGAGATGTCAAATTGAATGAAGTCGTCGTCGTGAATACGGTATTGTTTATTATGTTACACTCTATAATAGTATAATAATATAACTTTTATTTTTGTTTTCAAAGANGAATCACTGCTATTATTGTTATTTGAATTTATTTTGTCTTTTGAATGCAATTTTGCCGAACATTTAATCAATTCATTGGATTTTATTGTAAACTTATTATACAATTCCCTGATTGTATATTTTGTTAACAATTTATTCTGATATTCCCAATAAAATTGATTCATTAAATAATTATATATAACAAAATCAGTTAGTCGGATACAATCTATAGATTTCATAATTGTCTCACAAGCCTTGAAAACTTTACTGATTTCATGATTTACTTGTTGTTTGTTTGACTCGAGACTTACATTAAAGTATCGGTTAATCCGTGATTTATCGAAAAACACATGCCTTTCCGTACAGACAGTAATCGGCGGTAAATCCAGTCTTTCAGATGGTTTAACACTAAGTCTGTAAACATATGGATAACTGAAGTACTCTTTTGTCACTTCAAAATTGATTCATTAAATAATTATATATAACAAAATCAGTAAGTTGGATACAATCTATAGATTCCATAATTGTCTGACACGCCTTGAAAACTTTACTGATTTCATTATTTACTTGTTGTTTGTTTGACTCGAGACTTACATTAAAGTATCGGTCAATTCGTGACTTATCTAAAAACACATGCCTTTCCGTACAGACAGTAATCGGCGATAAATCCAGTCTTTCCGATGGTTTAACACTAAGTCTGTAAACATATAAATTGATTCATTAAATAATTATATATAACAAAATCAGTAAGTTGGATACAATCTATAGATTCCATAATTGTCTGACACGCCTTGAAAACTTTACTGATTTCATTATTTACTTGTTGTTTGTTTGACATAAGTCTGTAAACATATGGATAACTGAAGTACTCTTTTGTCACTTCTATTCCTCCGTAGAATAGCACTGAAAGACACAACACTTTCACCAATAGTTTTATATATGATTTAAACGTATAGTTCATATTCCGAGTGATAAACAGAAATAAAGTTTTAATTGCGAAGACTAGGACTTGAAAATAATTTAAAATTGCAAATAATAATGTAGTACATTTATTAAACACAAAATTTATAAGAAAGCCAAATTCTCTATGAATAATGCTAAGTATCGCCATTGTTTATCACAAAGTACTGTACACTACGAACTAAAATATTAATAATAACAAAATCTATATTTATTGCTATTTAATCTACAAAACTATATAATTAAAATGAATAAACAGATATTTGTGTTTTTCATAATAACTATTTTCTCGTTAACACCCACCCCACCCATGTGTACAATGAATACATAGTATTATGGACTCAATCATATAATTATATTGAAATAAAATAATTTCAATAATAATAATATCAACATCAATTTTAATTAGTTACAATATAATAATTAATATATCACTAAATCGTAAGACAAATAAGATGCCTCATATTTGTTTGGTGAAAATTTTAATCTATTTTAAGAGTTATTTAATTATAAATCCGAGACATTTACTAAGTCCAAGCTGCTTTAAAAACACGGCAAAAGTACCGAAAAAAACTGAGTCCAAAATTAAACTATATCATAATAGTGTATGATCAGGGATTATTAATTCTAATTGATCCCTTAGCCACTGAATAACAGGTCCTGGATCTGATCGATTAAAAAGTGGATTAAAAAGGTGTTGTTCGCCCAATAGCGCCGATATCATAAATTAGCAATTAAAATTAAAAATATGTTTATATAAAAAATGAATCAAAAACTTTATAAATAGCAGAAAAATTATACTTTCATATAAAATATACTGGTAATTGTAAATACATGCATTAAATATGAAATCAATAGAAGTATTGCATCAATATCTTACAAATGATTATAATTGCATAATTAAAATATTTAATAAAACATTTATAATGTCACGCGTTATTGAAATTGATAAAAAACATTAAATTAATATCCTACTGTGTAATTAATAGATAATTATTTTGTTTAATGAAAATTTCTTAATTCACGATAAAATGAATAATTTGACATTTATTTTCAACATTACATTGCTAACATCAAAATGAGCATTTTAAATGATTTATTACTTTTCGTTTATAAAAATATATTTCGATTCACATTTTTTGCAATTTGTTTGTCTATATGTTTGTATCAAATCTACACAATATGTGAAATTTATTTCTCATACAAAACCACAACTTCTGTCACTTTTGGCAACTATTCGGTGATATCTTTGCCGGCAATCACTATATGTATCGATAAAATCAATGTCTTAAGGGATGAGTACTTAAATCAATTAAATATCACACAAAAGCATAAAATTGATGACAAACTTAAAGTGGTAAAGTTTTGCGCTAATTATACGGTTAAACAACAGTTGGAAAAATTATTTTACAATTTTAGCGATATATTCAAAAACTGTGTTGTATTGAAAACAAATGCATTCAAAACGCAATTAACCGATGATTTATTTAAAATTGATACAAATGATGAGGCTAACCTTGGTAACTAGTTTGTACAATGCCATCATGTTAGCGATATTGTACAATCAATCGATTATAAAAGGTATGATTTTTATATTTTATTAGTACTACAATAATTTAAATTACATTATATTTCAAAACAGAATGTGTTTTACATTTATGTCACAAACGAGTGGACAATCGGAAGATTACTTTCAACTTAANGTATGATTTTTATATTTTATTAGTACTACAATAATTTAAATTACATTATATTTCAAAACAGAATGTGTTTTACATTTATGTCACAAACGAGTGGACAATCGGAAGATTACTTTCAACTTAATAATGAGCTTAATAATAGTAAGCTATTCAAGGATTATTTGACAACATTTGTCATATGCGAGTGTATGACCCGATCGGGGGTTGGGATAATAGCCGGCGATTGACGGGACAGTACTATTCGTTCAAAATGGATGAGTTCACGTCGGGTGAGGCCGATAAGGGGGTCAGCGTTAGGATACCGATGCACGTGATTAAAGAGGGGAAAGGCTATTTGGAGGACAGACGTCCAGCTGCTAATTGTGACCCATATTTAGTGACTGAGGCTATGGTCCGCACGTGTTGTTTGAATGAGTAGTGGTTATCGACATAATTGATATTTGATATAAATTTCCCCGATATGTTTGTCATGTTATTAATATTTAAGATAATTTTAGTTGTTTTTGGAAATACATGTTTATTATAACAGAAGTACTATAATATTACTGCCGGTAATAGAAAAATATTTTTACTTATAAGTTATAACTATAATTTATAAAATAAAATTATTTGATTTGGAACATGTTAACATTATTTTTAAATATTTAGTTTTCCATGTCAATTCTAATAAGGGTCAAAATTAATGTTCAATTATAAGAATAAAGAGTAGTGGTTACTGTCAAATTAATTGTTCATGTTCATAGTTTGTCATCGCTAATTCTTGAACACGTTGAGTAAGCATTGCTGTAACATGTATCAATATGAAATCAGTATCATTATGAATGATAATAAAATGTACATACATAAGTTTTCTCTTCAACCGCTTTATCTTTTGACTTGTTTATACGATCTTGCTCATCAAATAAATCTTTATTATCGACAAACACTTTGACCATACAATTGAAAAACTCTTTATCGCAATACATAATCAATGTTTCCTTGCGCTCCATAATCGTCTGATCCACTTTGGTGTAGGCGCTCACATTAGCTTTAATTAGGCTTCAAGCTATTAATGTAAAATTAACATGCTTAAATGAAAATGAAAATTTTCCCGCGACAATAGCAGGGTATTAGTTATAAATAGTTTGACAAACTTTCTTAGCAAACGCTATCTCTTCAGCCGTTTCGTTGCGTTGGCATTTAATCACTTTATCCACAATAGATGTGTCCGTCTTATTGGGGACACACAGTAGTGATTGAAATTTCTGAAACTTTTCCTCATCATTTTCAGCCACACAATTAAGCCAGTAATTGTTGACGACTATAAACATGAACGATAATACTATTAAACTGTGTCTCATTTTGAGTGAATTTAATTATAACGATGTTTAACTTTTATTAAATTTAGTATAATATAAATTGCATTGAATTATACAAATGCACAATTTAATATGTATGGCAAAGTAAAATGTCAAACGTATTATTTAATCGTATTTATAAGTGAATTGTATGGACTATTTTACTAATTACTAATTAGATATCGTGAAAACTGAAATTTCTGATCACAATATAAATGTATCGAGTACATAGTTGAGCAAATAAATTAGTTTATTTATTGATTACATTATTGTTACCAAGTCAATTGGTAAGGCATTACAGCATTGTATTATAATTTAATATTAATGATATATTGGATCAGGTTTAAATAATTAAACACAATATTAAATACTAATCAGTGAATTATATTATATAAAATAAATAAAAACAAAAACATAAATTATATATGTAAGGTATATGTAAAATGAAAATACAAAACATTCTCTAAGAATGATATTTCTAAATATTTATTATACTTTTAATTAAATAAATCTGTGTTTCACTTGAAACCCAAATTCAAACGCTTTTACTTTTATGGCATGAATTCCATGTATTTTTAAATATAAAGTGCATACAAAGTGTATGGGAACTGGAGGTCAACATAAGGCATGAATGGGGTCGACCACCAGAATAGCCATCACTAGCACCCACACAAACACACCGACAATACAATAAAAATACAAAATATTCTGTATTTAAAGTGAACACAAATACACACAAAATCATCACTTAATTTGTACACACATTGAGTGCACTATTCGTGTCACTCATTGTCAACTAATTTTTATATTCAATTCATTTAATACTATTTGTATTTTATAATCAAAAGTTAAAATTAAACTTAATTTTGTTTTAAAAATAATTCACGACTGCAAACAAATCTTTATTTCATTTGAACGCAAAAAAGTGTTTCAAAAAACTTTAAAAACTACTCATACTTTACATATATTTAATTTTAATTTGCCTAGATTCATATTTTAAAATTTCTATAGATGTAATTTATAAAATTATAAATAAATACTAGATTAATTGAAACTGTTTGGTATTTATAATAAATTGATAATTAGAAAATAATAATTTAAACTTTTGAAATGAATATTTATATAAAAAATTATATTTGATTTTGTGCAATATGCAAGCTTTGACAATGATTATTATATTAACAAAATTTCTTGTTAAATGAAAAACCTGTTTAAATATTACTTACTATACAATTAATTATATTACATGATTATAGTTATACAGTGTGTTTCACCATCAGCCTCTGACTTTGAATTGAAATAGTTCAAAAACTAAATTAGATAGCAAGGCACTCTCGACGGTTTCCAAAACTAGAAAGTATAGCAAATTTTTTGACATACTGATCATCCAGGTGCAACTTATCTTAATGTTATTTCTATAGACACTCTTGCAGACATGATTTACAGTATGAACAAAATGAACAAGATAAGTATAATCTATAACAATTTTATAGAGGAAGGTATGAACTTTCATATACCATCGAGATCTCTCAGCTCCGACATATGGTTCGGTCACAAATAACTTTTCAAAATCAAGAATCTCTATGGAAATCTCAATGGGAAATTTTCAATCAATAATAAATAACAATATAGTAGCTAGGTAAATGTCTTCCATAACTCAAAGATAGAGAATTTAATTATCTTTCAAATGGTGTATCACTCGTTATGGTCGGAATTATACTTCTTGATTTATTATTAATATAATTAAATTTATATAAATGCCGAGTTATGCCATTGAATCCAATTCTGTAACTGTGATTAATATTCATTTAATAAATCAAACAATAATTCAAGAAGTATAATTCCGACCTTAACGAGTGATACACCATATGAAAGATAATTAAATTCTATCTCTTTGAGCTATGGAACACTTTTACCTAGCTACTATTTTAGTGTTATTAATTATTCATTGAAAATTTCCCATTGAGATTTCCATAGGGATTCTTGATTTTCAAAAGTTATTTGTGACTGAACCATATGTCGGAGCTGAGAGATCTCGATGCCATTTGAAGGTTCATACCTTCCTCTATAAAATTGTTATAGATTGTATTTACCTTGCTCATTTTGTTCATACTGTAACTCATATCTGCAAGAGTGTCCATAGAAATAACATTAATATA